GTCTATTTGTATCACAACAGTATTATTATTATACCTTACTAGGAGAAACATCTCGAACTGAGATGTTCATTTCATAGCTTTTCTATCAGTAAATATTTTGAATCTCTTACTCATACTTAATCTTAATCTAAGCTCTTAGGTTGTCTAATTCAACTATCATCAACTAGAACTTGAATCATCTTACTGCTATCTATCACACAATAACAATCAATATCAAATATGTAATGAACTATTACAAACAACATCTACCTTAAGGCATTATTTACCTTGCCTAGCACTACAAATATGGATATTCTCCATACTAGCTACTACTGTACTTATTAAACTATCCTGATGACAAGGCAACACCGTAATAATGTCTTTATTCATAATTTTGGGGTTATGTCCATTAATTTCTGGATCTAATATACTTTGATGCCAAAAGGAGTTGGAGAAAAGAACGAATAATTAAAAAAAATATGAGAAGATTCTCTTTACATTTTCGCCAATTACGTATTTCTATAATAAAATTATTCAATATTGCTTTGTGTTTATTATAACAATAGCAATCCAATCTATCTCATATATAAAAGGCGATTAGCAATAGAATTGAAGGAAAGACGTCAAAAATTCTCAATAAGATTGTAGATTACTGGTACATTAAGTATGCCTACTATCTTAATGCCAAATTTATGTAAAATTATTATGAAATCAGTGGCGTTAAATATGATAATAATCATAATAAATGAAAATATACTAAAGAAATTGTAACAGTTGAATAATCAAAACATGTTTACAAAAAAATAACTATTTTGATTGGGTCAATTTGTAGCTGACTAAATATTATAAGTTATGTTAACTCCTAGATAATATTTATCGATTGCTTTGCTTTTTTAATAAATTCTTATGCTAGTATTTAAATATACAACTGACTATTAGGACGATCATCGATATCAAAATGCCTTATTAATGCGATTGAAAAAATGACTTAGTTTTCATAGACTAATTATAAAATTTGTGCTACATCAGACATTACGCCTTTAAGTAGAAGTTTATCATGTTTTAATTTTTAATATCGGAATTGCAACTAAGTAAGCAATTTAAACCATTCAATTTTTTTATTAATATCGGCAAATCATATTAAGATAATTTATGCGGCAAGAAGAAATTGATACATATGCAACTATCCCAATTCTATGAAATTCTAAGAAGTTTGTAGTGAGCCTATATTTAAGAATTATGAAGTATATTCTGTTATGGAACGTAATTCTTTCAAAATGATTTCTCAATAAAGAACCAAATTATAGTGATGGTAGTTTATTATATAGCAACATTTATCGCATTATTTTAAGGTAGTTATCTAGGGTTGATAATTACATATTACAGTACGTCTATTAGTTAAAGCGATAATGCTTCAATCATACACATCAGCTCAAAATCTGTAAGGTATTATTTCCGAATAACTATTTGTATAATTAGGGGAAAATGAAACCGTAATTGATTGGTCATAGTAATATTTATGGCGGGGCTAATGGTTATTTCAATGATGATAATAAATTAATACACAAATGCAAGTTCTGTTTACAGCTTTTTGTCATAGCTGTAAGCAATAAATTTTTTAATTTTACGTGTCGGGCTTGCAGTCGTGCCATAAACATATACCGGTATCGATTTTTATTTCAATTAATTGATATTTAAAATATAGAATTGATGAAATTTGAAATAGAAGCCTAAAATATTAGAGCACATTATCAGCATTTAATTGACAGTATAGCGGGTTTGTGCTTCTCCAGCATAGCCAGTAGATTTAAATGCGGAACGAAATTTCTTATTAAAACCGGCATATATGATTGGATTGGCAACTGCATTAACATAACTTAATAGATGACATATTGCATACATAACATAAAAATGAGGTGTTGTGGCAAATGGTAAAACTCGAAAAGCAATAATAAAGAAACAGCAATATAAGGGTAACCAGCATGCTACAAATAACATTGTAATGACCAGCATCATTTTTATCGAGGAACGAGCAGCAGCATTATAGAATACTCGATTCTTCTTCAATAAATTGTTTTTGGATTCTCCTAGCCATCGCAAATAAGCAATTACACGTAGATAGATGGTTATAGTTATCATAAGAGGCAAGATGAAAAGAAAGACAAAAGTACTTGGCACATAAATTTCAGATCCAGTTAGAGTAATAAAATTCATGTAACATATTGGTTGTTCTGGAGATGTTTCATCATCGTAGCGTGTTAAAATAAAGCTAGTTAATGAACAAATGAAACCTAAGATAAATATACCAACTAACATCAGTGCTTTCCGTTTTTGATTGCCACGATATTCAAGTGAACAAGCTACAGCCCGATAACGATCTATGCCTATTGCAGTCATGGTAAAGACTGACCCTGTTGCGAAAAATGCTGGTAGCGGCTTAAACAAGTGACATAAGACTCTTCCAAAGGGGAAGTAACATAATAAATCTTCAGCTATTGTGAAAGGTAGGGTTAATGTTACAACAAAAATATCATAAATGGACAGGCTTGCTATTAATGTATATGTTAAGGAGGACATCGAACCATGGCGATTTTGATAAACAGTTCGAACGACCATTAAATTGCCTAAAACACCAGTAACTAATATCATAGCGCCTATTACAATGATAATAATTTGAAATGTTAACTTATATGGACCAAAATGAGTTAGACATTGAAATGGCTGGGTTGTACTATTGAAGCTGTTGTTAGTCTTTATCGCCGGTGTCGCGTTGAAATTATAAACTGGATAGGATGTCGATGTAATGGAAGTCATTCTGTCAAAACTTTAAACTTTCCTTGCTACTAGGTTCGATGAAAAAATAATAACAGTTTATAGTTACAACTATCAAAGAATTTAAATACGATCACTACAGGTCAGTAGTAGAATTAGAATTGTACTTGATGAATTATACCAGGTAGTATTCTATTTATATTTTAATATATTGATAATCACTTTAATATTGAGTAAACGGATGAAAAATATAGATCATAGATTCAATTGATAATGCGACGATGAGCATTACTGTCATGGATATTTATAGCATAGGATGAAGACAAATATCCTTTATGCTACTTTTCATTAATGTTAATAAATAAGTAGATATTCAAATACCTTGCTGTAGTTAGATAGTTTATCATTGTATGACGCCAATTTCAAAATCTTTCATTAGTTTGTTTCAATACCACATTGAAAACACTGCTATCATTTACAGCCGATATTTTACAAGATAATTGCATTGGACTTTGATTAAAATATCATGCACTATTTGTTTAAAAGATATATAGAATTGATTGCATTGACAATATTGAATATATTTTGATAAACAAAGCATTTTTAACTTATTGCACCTCCGGCAGGTGTAAGATATTAATACTAAGTGGTTATATTAATTCATTGGAAGTCTCGGCTCGAACAGATTATTGTAATTCAAAACGCGTCAGCTATAAATATGAAATTTCATTTAATTGCTGTCTATTTTTCTATTTTGTCTCTATCGTTACCTGAATCACATGACTCATAATGTTTCCATAGCACTCTATCAGTTAGAAATAATTAAAATTAAAATTAATGATAGTATGGGGCATTTACTCATTAGTGTAAATTTAAATAAATCTATAACTTCGGTTCTGTTGAAAAGTAATTTGAGGCGACCATATCAATTGATTTATTTATCTGTATTCGTTGGTATCATGTTAATCAGATAGATACTTAATGTTAAGCAATAATTAAAATTGTATCCAATTTACGTGATCTTCATTATTTTTATGAAGAATGTAATATCGTCGCTAAGAATCACAAATACAATCAACATATCCTTTACTTGATATAATAGAACAAAAAGTAGGTAATTCTTGTTTTATCTATAAAAAGATAATAATGCCTTTAGAACTTATTGACGCTATAAATATCAAGAAAAATTAGATATTTTATTATAATTTTGCTGTTGCTAATACTTTTCGCTATGTTAAGGTGATCATTACCAAACATTGTAATCTAACGATAATCAAAGAATTTAAAGTTTAAGGGCAATTACATGATACAAAGTTATATTTTGCATCAAACTAGCCTATGTTTAGGTAATTTTTTTAGTGAATGTATCAATTTAGTCAGTTAAATAAAAAATTAAGCAGTGATGTAAATGGGATAGCTTGACATAACTTTTAAATAAGTAATTTTAGCGGATAAATTGCTGAAATAATATAGTCTATGGCTAAATAAAGAAGGGCGTACCCACCAAATTTTAGATTAACACGAGATCCATTTCGGAAACAACCAAGTAGTTACTGCAATTACGTCTGTCTTCTAAGCAATACATGAATCTACAGA